AAATAAATTTACTAGGCGTTTTAGTTGATATTACAAATTTAATTATAATAATTAAGAAACTTGAAATAATTTTTAAAGAAACATGTCAAAATTGAGATTATTAGAAGTTACCTAATAAATTCTACTAGTTCTACGGCAAATTCATTTACAATTACAATCGAAAATTGTAATTTTTGCATTGTCATAAAAAATTTAGTTTCCTGCTTACATTAAGATATTGATCAGCAATTTATCGAGATCATTAAACGTGGATCAAATGAAGTCCCCTAATTCTAAATCATTCAAAGTAAATATATTCCAAAGTAACTATAACAGTTTCTTTCATTTCTTCGGCTGACAATCTATCTACCATGTTCTTTAAAGATCTTGAATGCAGCTAATCACTCGTAACCTTTAGTATCTTCTTCTGTAGCAAATAGTCTTGAGGTTACATAATAAGCGCAAGATTCTTATTGAAACGTACGATTAATCTTACAGAAACGATTAGAAATCGTCGACCCGTTACAAAGCTGCTCAAATGTAAAATAAAACTATCATTATAAAAAAATAACATTTAATCTCGATCAGTGTTAAGTTACATTAATGTCAATCACTATAAGAAGATTTAGAGTTTCAACCACTTTTAGACATAAGTGGGGAATTAGGTCATATACATATATGTATACATTATCATTTACAGAACTTCAGCAACACAAGAAGTGAAATTATTATAAATATAGTAATATGTATGAAAGAGAGATATAAAACAAAGAATAACGTAGAGTTGGATTAGCTGTTTAACAAACTGAAATTACTTTTGTTCTCGCTATGAGATATTTAGAAATTCTGGAAAGATTATTAAAATTGAAGCACGGCTCTGTATGGGCATGGGGCAAACATTTTCAGAGGTAATTCGCTGCTGGTCTTGTTTAAAGCATTTGTCTGTATTTTTCACTGGTCTTGCTTGAGGTACCTTTGAAGGTATCTGCCGCAGCTGCAGGCGAAACGTCAGGAGTAAAATCCCAACTACCACGGCCAACAAGCCCGGAGTAGAACCGAGAATTTTATAGAAGTTAAGAAAAAATTAACAAGATAGTTTGGACACCTTCCTGGATACGAAGGGCCGCAAGTTAGAAACATATCAGAAACAGAAACAAGAGTTAACAAGCGCAGAGGTTGACCTGGGGTAGATTATACTGATCGGAAGTAGTTAGAGATGCAGGTGACTCTAATAGTTTTCATGAAATGGGAAGACTTGCTCAGGAGAGGAAGAAGTGAGTTCAATTTAACAGGGCTTAAGACCTTACATTTATGATGAAATGTGTAGAAGATAGGACAGTGAAGCTGTTGTGAAATATTTGTAGAAAGTAATAAGAAAATTTCCGTAAAATGTACATGAATAAAATAAATTGAACAATCGGTAGAACTGTGGATGGATCAGTTAAATTAAATCGTGGATGTACTACATGTAAATGGCGTTAATTCATTACGTACGTATATTGGTATTTTGAAACAGATACAGATGCGAAGAAAAGGTTTTTATACTATTGCACCATTTGCGAAATACTTTCTCCTTTAAGAATTGTACGTTAAGTTTTTATGGTCCTCCTCAGGCAATGCAGGTTGTTATGAAGTAACTGCAAGACATCTTTTAACGTTAATTATCAGAATTTGGTGTTTCACTGGATGTCTATTTCGAAGAAAGTGTGCTAACAAATCGAGTTGTCTATCCTACGAAATTTTTATCAACAAAATCAACGACACACCTAATTTCATAAGAAAGAGCGTACAAGTTTTCACAAGTAATGTGATCCTGTAATCAGATGTGTTATGACATTGTGAGTACAGGAATAAGTCAATACTCCCATAAAGTAGTTTACTTTTCATTGTAGGCAGCTGTGTTTTATCATGAACAAATATTACTTACTTAATTAACAGTAAAGACATGCAATTAAAAGAAATGTTTAATCTTTTTTTTACTAATAGAAGGAGAAATAGGGAAAAATAATCACCTTTTTTCAGTAGGTAATTGAAATCCACTTGTACATATGATTTATAGGTACTGGATTATATAGGCTATAAGATTATGTATTGCATCTAAAGTAATTATTGGTAGATACTATTGTTAACATAGTGGGTAACCTTTTTTGCAGGTTCTTTGGGGACGCCCAGCTACCAGTTTCTAAATAATCGACCACATCCAACGTACAGTTTGGAAAACATGCCAGATACTGAATTCACATGCAGGGGTAAAGTTTTGGGTGGATATTATGCCGATTTGGATACAGAATGTCAAATGTTTCACATATGTGTAAAAGTGTCAGGAGTTGGGGTAAGTAAATTAAATCAAATATCATCATAGGGTCTGTCGTCAGTCCGGAGACACGTTTTAGAACACTTTTCTCTCACGAACTAATCTTCGTATTTCCTAGAAACCAAAACATGTCACATCTCTCACTATTTATTTAGAACGTGTCCTACTATTCTAATATCTCCTTTTTATTATTCTCTTTATAGCAATTGTTGCTATCGTACCTACTCTATCTAATTTTTAGTAGATACAATATAGAAGTATCTAGATCTATTAAAACTTAATTTATAAAGTTCCGCCACAGTAAAAGCATTATGCAAATTGTTTCCATTAAATCTTTTGTAGAGTGTCAAGAAGTTTTGATAACCCTGACATAATATCAAGTACATCAAACCTACGTATTTTCGTGAACTTGCTTTATAATTGAAGAATACTAATTCCTTGACTTCATTTATCTATCTGCTTTCTCTTCCGGCATTTCAGTCAAGTTGAAACAGGTATTCCCTGAATTTAAATCACTTTTTGATAGATAAATTAAGGCAGTTATCAGCATACTGTTTCTGTATCTACTTTTTGTTTCATCTTTTTGTTAAGTTAAAACATTAGGCAACTTTCTCTGACAAAACTGCTAGCAATTTTATTTTCAGCTTGTATATTTGAATGCCCTCGATTTTCTTAAATTTCAGTGTATATCTCTTTATAATCTTCACTAATAACACCAGAACCGGACCTATATATGACCTTTTTGGGGTATAATATATGTGTTGTATAATTTATATATTATTATATACAAAAAACTATCCTATTAAAAAAAAAGTAGCTTTTTAATCAGTAGCCTCTAATTAGGGTTAGCCCAGGGTCCCCCCATATTTACGGTCCCCCCCCCCCATGAATAACCCTTAGTTTTATAATTAGTAATGATGACATAGTTGTTTTAATCTTATTGAGAATGGTTTAAATATACACAAACACACGCATCCGTTTGTAACTAAACTAGTAAATCATTGCATTTTAAAGGAAGTAAAGAAATTTTGTACAGAACAAACGGTCAATAGTATTAGAAGGTTTTATCGTGTCTTTTTTCTCAGTCAACTATTTTAGAATACAATTCGCGACTTCCGTTGATTAGAGTCTTCTTTTAAACAACGCGTACAATATACATATATTACAAAAGGGTATGTAATGCATTATAAGATGTATTTGTTCATCAACTTTCTTTTCTTTTTTAATAGCATTCGGTTTCAGACAAGTTTACAACCTACTGTAATGTAGTTAATTTATTTCTGCAACGCACAAAGAATGATCTATAAATCACCTCCTACGTAAACGTGTTTATAGGCCCTCGGTACCCATCTTACTTTGATAAGAAACAATCGTTTAAGTGGTTCATTGTAGAACGAACAATCATTTCATATCTTTGAAATCGAGTCACAAGATAAATCATTAGTTAGTCATTACACGCTTCTTTCAAAAGTGAAAATCGGAATATAATTTACTTGTTGAATGAAAGTGTCAACGAAAGTTAATTGCGCAATTATACGAAGAGTTTTAAGAAATAATAACGCTATTGTCTTTTCTTAAAGAAATTGAAAAAATTAAAGTTAAAACTTCATTATTGGCAACTAGGTGACTCCTCTAAATCTGAACGAGTGGGTAGCGCTGTTAGTGGCGAAAACCCTAAACATCAAAATATTAAGGTTAGAATGTACTTCTCAAAATTGATACCGAATATAGACATTTAAACCCGCTCACTTCTTTGCAATTGTTTACTTCCACGGTTCTCAATTAAAAATTATGATTATGATATCAAAAGTATAGTACGTCTAAGCAATCCTTTAGATAAGCATTTCAATCGTTGGTTAGTTCCAGAATGTTGTAAGTACTATCAACTTTCCCAGTTATACCGATTTCATTTACAAGATAAAACGTTTTTTCGCTGTTTTCATTCGTTAACATCTTTTAAACCGCTTAATAAAGTTGTACGAGGTTTTACAAAACTGCAGTCTTTTTAACT